GCACTCGATCCCACCATCCATGTCATTAACAAAGAAGGTAATCAGTACCGGTCCCAGTACCAAGCCCTGAGGAACGCTGCTCGTCACTGCTCTCCACTCAGACATCGAGCTGTTGAGCAAGGTATACACCAACCTGTGGCAGGACTGCAATCCTTGCCTTGTACAGGGTTTTTGTGCTGGTTTAGTCCTGTTAGTTTAATAGCTAAATTGTTCTGCTGTGCCAGGCTCAAAGGGTATGAAATGTACATGTATAACTACAGGTAGCGACCAAAGATATGACACTGTTAGAAATTACTTTTAAAAGAGAAATTCCATCATGATGCACAGAAGTTCATACAGGCAAAGAACGTGTCCTTTTAACTGGTCATGGCTGTTCTCTTTGCCACCCATCTCGCTCCTCCTGTCCTATTTCCTCTTAATGTGAGATACTGTAACATAACAAAGTTGAACCCAATCGTAAGAAACTGCATTGTCAGGGAACAAGACAAGGAAAGCTTATTGGGATTTTCTGCCTCACAATCCCGTTGTTACTGTTCTTTGAGGAAGTGTGGCATGTGTTTGGGAGGCTCTCTGGGGTCAGTAGTCCTGCCTTTGTAACTGACCATAAGATTGTGACAGATGTCGTGCATACTAACATTTTTAAATGAGACTCTTGTGAGGAATGATCCGATTGGTCAGGGATTTGATAGTAACACAGCTAGGATCTCCGGGACAGGTAAGCCTTTGAGAAGGTAAATTCTTTGATTTCTTGTGGACATTATTTCCTTCTTCCAAAATCTGAAACCAGTTTGACAATGTTTAAGACTCTGCTGGTCATGTGATCAAACTACTGCTAAGTTACTCTGTCTCCTCTCCAGCAGGAAAATGGTGGTTTCTTGACAACGGGCTACTAAACATTACCAGCGTGACTTTTGAAGACAGAGGTAGATACACGTGTGTCGCATCTAATGCGTATGGCAGTGTTAATAATACTGTGACCCTGAGGGTTGTTTTTACTTCCGGAGACATGGGAATCTATTACATGATTGTCTGCCTTGTAGCCTTCACCATTGTTATGATACTGAACATTACTCGCTTATGTATGATGAGCAGTCATCTGAAGAAAACAGAGAAAGCAATCAATGAATTCTTCAGAACAGAAGGGGCAGAGAAGCTCCAGAAAGCCTTTGAGATTGCAAAGCGTATCCCAATTATCACTTCAGCCAAAACGCTCGAGCTTGCCAAAGTCACCCAGTTCAAGACCATGGAATTTGCTCGCTATATTGAAGAGCTTGCTCGGAGCGTACCTCTGCCACCTCTCATCATGAACTGCAGGACGATAATGGAAGAAATTATGGAGGTTGTCGGTCTGGAGGAGCAAGGACAGAATTTTGTACGGCAGACGGCAGAAGGCCAGGAAACCACTGAAACAGATGAGCTCTACATGATCCCTAACTCTTTGAAGCGCAGTGACTCCCCCACAGCTGACTCTGATGCATCGTCACTGCACGAGCCACCTCAACAGATCGCAATAAAAGTGTCAGTCCACCCATTGTCCAGAAAGGACTGCGGGGATGGTCAGTCACAAGAAAGCATGCAGTTGGACCCCAAGGAAGAAGACACTCCTCAAACACCAGCACTTCCTGCGGACCCCCCTCCCGAGTCTTCTGCTGAACTCAGTTCTGATGACACAGCAGTGGCAAATGACAAAAATACATGCGTTATATATGAAAGCCATGTATGATAGTTACTCCTGAATCTATGCATAGCAGGAAAATCAGGTGGAGCTCTTTTAAAAACACGTATTGTACTTGCCGCTAAGCCTTACCTGGAGACTATCATAGCAAAAGCATGTATGTGGGTTATTTGGCACTTTCTTCTCGGTTTGACTTCAGTTTACCACGATGTATGGCAGAGTAATTGCTATTACATTAATATTAACTGCTCTTATCGAGTAGGAGTATTTCCAAGAAACACTTACCTCAGGTTGGAGTTACCTGTAGTGGCCTCCTGGAAGTCACTGGTAGTCTTTGATGTAGGACACTTGAACTTACTAAACATAAAACTGGTTTTCATTTTCCTCTTCACTCATTATTTCCTTCTGTTGCATTTTGGCAAACATCACCTTGTGAATTTGAAATACTGCCCAAGAGGTAGCACTCTAGTAGCCAAATAAAATTCTAATAGATCCCATTTACGAAGCCTGTTTGCTCAGCTGCACTGTGATTTACAGGGCTATTAAAGAAAGTTAAAATGTTTCCATTTCATTTGAGACCACACTGCTTATGCACATGGGAAATAGTTTTCCCTTTTTTGATGGAACAAAGATGCCAACAATTGTTTTTTTCACATCGAGAAACAACTTGGTGGTGTATTTTACGAATGGGAAAACCCGTAAACATCTCGCAGAAAGTTGCAGTCCAACAGCTGTGCAGTGGTTTTTTGCTCATATATTTGACCACATTTTACTTTGCTAGAAGTTTATCTGGAAAACAGCTGCAAATATGCAAAATGTCTTGTTTTGTAATAATTTGGTAGGAGTAAGTATGCACTACCTTACCAGGAGATACGCAGGTTCCTCAACAGTCCTGCATACGGCAGTGATCAGCTGATGACAAGGCTGAAATGGCAGAAGAACCTTCTACTGGGATTCTCAATTTTGTGCAGATTCATATTCTGAAGATCAAGCCTGAATTCATCTATAAGCATAAGTTTGCGAGTTTTTATCCAAACTAAAATACATATATATGTATTCAAATGTCCTGTGAGATTACAATGACGATCACACAAACCCTTTACTGTGTTATAATTGCTTTAGTATTTTAAGAACCTCCTACCTATGTAGAATGTTCACTGCTTGAGTACACGTACTCTACCCCAGTAAAGCTTTAATGATGACAGCGATTGTGGCATTAAAAAACATCAGCATTTATGCCAGGAAATGCCAGGAGTGGAAGGGAAGTGATAATTTCTATTGCGGACAGACAATAAAAAGGACCTTCTCCTGAGTGAGGCTGCAAAGAAAGCACTTACAAGGAGGAGTTTGTGTAGGATTAACAGTGTATTACTTAGTTCTCTGATACACATTTAATTTGGAACTAATGAACAAACTATTACCTTCCAGTTTTTAAGAAGGACTGTAGTGTAAGTGTAGATACTCAGGTCTGGAATCAAGTGTATCGCAGAAGTCGTCACTTAGGTCTGTGGACGCTTGATTGAAGTAGCCAGATCTACATAAGGTGTCCACTGGAGGCAATCAGGTATATTAACTGCGTGGGTAATTGAGACCAAACACAGTCAATGTTGCAGCTATCCAAAACAACCCCTTGATAATGAACTGAGGTTTTATGTCAACTTCCTCATGTTAAAGTGCAGAGCTTCACTAGCAGTGTCATACAGGAACACCCCATGACTTCGGTAGGTGATGCAGAGAAGGCCTCATATTTACGTTTCTGTGGTTATTAATAATACCTGTTTAATGACAGACTTCCAATTTTGCGACCAGCTTGTGAAAATGACAGCGTTTAGTTGCCTAACACTTGTTTGTGCTCACCACAGTGGCAGGCATATATACAGAACACATTTGCACATGCCCAAAAGGAAACGTGCAAGGGCAAAGCCTGTTCGGGAATGTGGCTAGAAATCTTTTCGTTCGGGCAAAGCAATATCAGTCTAGAAGACAGGGCAGATTAAGAGAATACCATAAAGCACTCACTTCTGATCAGTGTGATTGAAAATACTACTGATGCAAACTGTAAACTTCTTGTCTGAGTCCAAAGTGCATTTCTGTTTAGTGTTCACATGAGTTTTTCAAGTTACTTAATTTGCTTCTGGTATGAAAAAGGACGAGGGCAGAACCAAAAGCAGGAACATGTACTAAATTCTTTTAATTCACCTTAACCTCCTGAAAAGAGGCATCTTGATTTTTCTGCTTGTCCAGCATTTACAGACAATGCTCGTCCATTCAAGTTACCTGCCTGCTGCCCAACTAAGATGGCACAGATGAACAAGGGTGTTCTCCTTGAAAGCATAAAAATAACTTCTAAATTACACTTTCCAATTAAAAAAAAAAATCAGAATTATTCATTAAACTACAGTGTTTTCATTTTAATTATTTTTTAATTATGACTTTTTTACAGGAGACACCAGACCCCGTCACATATTCATATATTCACTGGTACCTGTCAGGCCTGATCCTGACCACCGCCCTCAGGCTGTCCTCCAGCCTGTTGATTATTTATTTATTGAGAAACATTTGGGAACAAACAATTCCCGTGGCTTTCTTCAGTATCTCAGAGTAAACTTCCTTGAAGATGCTCATGTGTATCTCAGGGGTTTTTTTCCAAAGGTTGCTCACAACGAGCACGCATTTGAAGTACACACAAAGATATGCTGCAAACGCCGTCCTGGGGATTAGATGCACGTGATAGCTGTAGTGCTGAATCCCTGCTCTTGCAAGCTCAAAGGGAACCTTGACACTGCTGGAGCTGGACTCACCGAGAGCTGAGGGTTCACGGGTACGACTGGTCCAGCCAGCCTGCTCTAAGTTCTTCAGAAATTTGCCTTTGTGGTATTGTCAGAATAAAAGAACAGCACCGTATCTGAAGAAAATACAGATTGCAATGGTTCTGGTTTATGTGTTTTTGCTGTTTTCCTGAATGCTGCTCAGTGTCTTTATGCATCCATTATATAACACCTGTAAGCCTAAAGCTTTTTCCATGCTTTCAGGCACTTGTGGGAGGTAGATGGGAAGCAAGACCCAAACCCTTCTTTCCCATTCCAAACTTTCTGCCTGTGCTATTAACCAATTCTGTCTTGCACTATTTCTTAGGGAACAGCTATTTTATGATTGGAGAACACAACTAATAAATACAAAATTAGTGATTGCTCTAAGAAAACATTAACATTTGCATTGTTATTTTCATGCACCTTAAGCACTTCAGGGACATTGGAGTGATCTGTTCCCATAATTGGGCTATGCATACCTTTACTTACATTGTTGTATTTATTACATCACTAGCAGTTCTTAAAACACTCAGAATCTGGAGAATCCAGTCCAACTGAATTTGCGTTCTAAAAGCATAAGGAACACCAAGCCATGCTTAGAAAGGAAAAGAGCCTTGCAGGATATATTTACACCATTTTAAAATATTGATGCCAAAACTTCAAGAAACGTGACTAGATTTCTGCAGCACAAGAAATCAATGTTGGATTTGAATTTTACACTTTCTGCTCTTTTTTCGCTAAATGTAAGGCCACATTAATCAGACCTCTTGGACATAGTACTCACAGTCTACTTAGTCGATGTTTTGAGCAGCATTTGTTTGCTGCTGATCCTTTTTTGCTCTCTGTTTTGCATGTGCTTGTGATGAAACCTACCCCTCAGGCATTTTTTGAGATTGTAATTTTAAAAATTTAAAAGAATCCATAGATCAGCCTTTCTCTGCAGGTTGGTATTAGGTAAGACACAGCAGTTCGCTCCTATGCTTACAAATTGTTGTATAATCGTAAGACTTGCAGAATGGCATATATGGGCAGAAGTTGATTTAAAAAAAAAAAATCAGTGCCTGTTTTATTCTAATGTACATACCATGTCAGTTCCTCAATTTGCAGTTACCTTTTGACAAAAGTACTGTAACATATAAGCAGGGCTTTCTGATGTTCAGTTTGGTTCAGATGGACTAATTCTGGAAAGTAGCAGTGGCAGATTTTAAAAGCTCTCATGGAATATCTTGGCAGCATGCTATTTTAAGAGTTGGCCTCTTAAGTGCGCCATACCTAGTGCAACGACCGAAAGCTTCTTAGATGCAAAGGAAATGCTTGCCCTTAAGTATCTTAAGTTATATTTCATTTATTATGAAACCCTTCTGATTTTAAAAGAAATGTAAGACAACTATGAATGTGTTCTTTTGAGAAGCAGTTCTTGTATTTTGATTTAAATAACTGTTAGCCATTTTAAGGTTCATGGCGGTAAACCACAGAGACCAGTTCATGCTGAAGTGGTAAAGTGAAATGTGATCCAGCTTGTACATTGATTGTTGTTTCAATAAAGAATTTGCACAGAGTATGCTGAGTTTGTACACACTCACCAAGATGATAGTTTCCTAGGAAGAGCATGTCGTGGCTCCAGTTCAAGTGGAAGTGAACTGTGCTTACATTGTACCTCTGCTAATACTCCAGAAACTTTCATCAGGAGAAGCAGGTATTTACCTAGAAAGGAAGTTTTAATAAATCTCTGAAAGGGGGCTGTTGTCATTCAGAATATAGACCCAGTTGTTATCAACACCCTAGATTGCTCATGTATGTAGCATCTTCTCCTTGGAAGCATGTCAGGACTTTTTTGTCCACCGTTTCTCTCTTAGCCCTGGCATGGGACCTTGCCAAAAATCTTGCTGCTGTTTCGGAGTTGGGCCCAACAAAGTAAAATGTCTCTTCTCCCAGAGGCACCCTAGTACCAAGACAAAATAGAAGCAGGGGTTGCCATACCTGCCCCATTCCTTCATCCACCCTTAAAGGATGAGGTGAAATGGTTTTCCTGTCCCACAGCAGTTGGCCTGCATCTCGCCAGCAGGACGTAGTTGAAGCAGACGCTGTAACCCTGTCCTGGCTTTGGCGGTGCTGCACAGCCTGCCCCTGGCAGTCACTGACGTAGATGAAGGGGGGGGCACTTGTCCTTTCACACATGAAAGAGTTGCTCTTGCCAGCTGCCTGTTCTAGGCTGAAAAACATAGCCAATAGCAGGGAAACAATAGCGATTTCATGTTTTAACTCTGCTGTTTGATAGATCGCTCCAGTTTTGAGAAATATTTGCAGAAGCGTTTTTATTCATCAGTTTCAGTTGAGTTAATGGGGCTGAGACATCTACAGTTTATCTACAAATATCTATGAAAAGTAATAGTGTCACAAACTGACCATAAAAATGGAATACAAATGGCTAAAGCCACATGCTCTTTTATTGTCTTAGCACGAGACCCTGTCTTGCAACTGGGGAAGTTTGATATGCTGTGACTAGAACACACCAATTCATGATGCTCCCCTCCAGCATGCTGAACTCCTGCAACAGCTCTGCTGGAACCTTCTTCAGGAAGGCAGGGTACCACCAAGCAGCTGGTCCCAGTGAGCTAGGCTCCTGAGCACTGGGATTCAGTGTCCGCTCCTGAACACTGTGAAACAGGCTGCCCCCATCGCCAGTGCT